GAGTTTAGGCAGCCCTTGGATTCGGCAGCTCTCTGCTTGCTGGCGTGGAGAGCAGGAGTGAAGTCAACCCCCATGTTTGCTGGCATGGCTTGTGTCAATTCTCCCTGTATGAACTGGGCTCAGAAAAGGGACAGGCAAGAAAAGGAGGAACCGAGAGAGCAACACTTTCATAATTCCTATGGCTGGAGTGCAGCTGGCACCGACAGCTGCCTCTCCCCAAATACTGGTGAGATCCAGCACCTCAGCACGGCTCCCAGCGAGGATCTCCTGGTGCGAGGTGCAGGCACGGCCAGCGGGAGAGACACGCCGAGAACACACCATGCGTCGCCGCGCAAACAGGAAGGGGACTTTCAAATTTCGAGAAGAGCGCACGGGCGGGTCTTGGTCACCTCAGCGGAGTCCCAACGCAGGACTAGCAAGGCCAGAACAGGGCATTGTGGGAAGGGTGCCAGAGGCCAGTCCGGATGCAGTACTACACCACGGTGTCCACACCGGTACCCCTGTGCACTATCTAGAGCACAGCAAGAGCTACATGTCTCGCGGAGGTGCTTAACCTGGAGCGCACAAAGCGCCTTGCCAGGGTGAACACCGCGAAAGTTACAAAACTGAGGGTTGATTTACTGCGCAGCAACTTGCCAGTGGGGACGTGGCCTTAGACGCTCCATTCTTTCATGCCTCCTTCTTCCTCCCAGGGTACATCTACACTGCAACACTATTTCAAAACAACGAGCGCTATTCCGTAATCACTTAGTCCGCGTCGACACAGCTGGCAGTTATTTTGAAATAATGTCGAAATACGGTCAAGCTGGAGGACTTCTTACTCCGGCTCCTGTAACCCTCATTGTACGAGGAGTGAGGGGAGTCGGAGTGCTCTATTTCGAAAGAAGTGCTGTGTAGACGGGCCCAATTTCGAAATAAGCTACGCAATTGACGTAGCTCAATTTGCGTCACTTATTTTGAGGTAAGCCACCCAGAGACACCATCTCTCAGGCCAGACCAACAGATCCAGCACAGCAGAGGGGTCTATCGCCATGACTAACCCCCATATTTTCGTTTTCAGTTATCTATCCTTCCCTTCCCCCCTGCTCATTTCAGGATTACGATGAGTGCCTTACAGAGAAACACACGGGAAGACCTCAGCCCAGCTGGACAAGGCTGTATACATTCATTCCAGTAGAGGAGAACAGGGCTCCATTGTAGTAGGTGCTAGACATACACACAGTAAGAGGCAGGGCCAGCCCCGATGAATTGACCATATACCACAGCCTTCATTACCACAGGGCACACCACTGGATTCGGAGGGATCACTCCTGGAAGCTGGGAGTAGGCAGCATCCAGAAGAAAGGCAGACACTACATTAATGTAGATGTTTCGCGTGGAAGGATGGTCCAGTGTTTAGGGCGTGAGCCTTGGTCTTGGGAGACTCAGGCTTAATTCTTGGCTCCATCACAGATGGCTTGAGTGAGCTCAGGTAGGTCCCCAGGGGTACATTGACACTGCAGCTAGAGGTGTAAGTTATAGCTCAAGGAGATGTACACACACTGCCTTTAGCTGAGTGAGCACGCTCCCGGTAGGTCTACACTGCTCGCTGCTGTAAGGTGTTGAGCACTAAGGGGAGCTGAAGATGCACCCGAGCGGCTGAATGTAACACTAAGTTGGTTGACATTTCTATCGATTTTTTTGTCTTTTAGGATGTAGGGAGCAGGAAAGGACTCTTTTCTAAAACAAAACAGTCTCATCCCCAACTGTTGACATTGTCACAACGGCTCCTCTTGGGTCAAACCTGTCATGCCTTTTCACTAACTCAAACTTCAAAGCTTTGTATAAATAGCACCAGTTTCTGGAGACAAAAATGTACTAACTTCTTTGGGGGGAAACAGAACATTTTTTAAAAAAAATTTCCCCTTTTTCAAAGAGAGTCCATTAGACACACTTTGAAATGAAAACTAATTAATAAGTTAATACTTTGTGTTTCCCCTCTGTGAAAATAGGTCATCATATTTCCACCAGTTCTGGTAACACAGGGAAAAGTAATGAGTTATGTTTTGTTGACAATTCCCATCAGAGCCTTTAGCTTTGTTTTTTAGATCTAGAGCCAGATCTACGGAGGTATTTGAGTGCCTGAAGAGGCAGATACATGCCTAACCTGCTTTGGCACTCCAGAAAACCCCAGATGTCTAACTCCCATTAAAAGCCAATGAAATTAAATGCAGTTCATACTAGGCACCTATCTGTCTCTTTAGATGTTTGTAAATCTAGCTCTAGTACTTTTCTATTCTTTTATAGTTACAGCATTTGCAGCTTGG